ATATTCATGAAAAAAGTAGAGCTGATATTAAACTTCTTTCTTATACGAGCGTAGTTACGACGTGACGTGAGGATTTTTACTATGGAAATTTAAAATATAAAAAAATTAATAAAATTAAAAAATTTATCATCTACTATATAATGAATAAGTATTTTAACGATAAACAACATATAAATTTTGGAAGGGGAGTCTTGGAAAACAATGAAGTTATCTCCATGTGACTTATACATTACATATTTGAGGACTTACAACAGTCACTAATGCTTCCATTAGGGTAGACTTTCTATAACATACTCCTAGGAATGCGGTTCTTTCTCGGACCCTATATAAATGTGTAATATTTTGTACACTAGATTGTCTTTATATAGTTGTAACGATCCAAGTTCGCCCTCCGTGAACTGTCTTGACGGAACCTAGTCTCTACGACTAGGTAAACCTAAAAATTTCGGAAAAGAAACAAAATACGAAAAAACTAATAAAAACTGGAGATAAGCAAATATAGAAGCATTTAAGATGCCGCTCGGCATATACTAATACAAGATCACAAAACTGAACAACATTTCCCAAAACCCGGAATCTCATGAAATCACAAGCTGTTGAATAACTATAAGTGTCTAACTCCAGAATGTCTAAACAAAAGTAAATATTGAAGGGCTAATACTATAAGAGAGAATGGAAAGGGACTCCTCAGTCTGCGGACGCGGCAGATATACCTCGAAGTCTCTGGAGAATCGCCTCGCCTCAAGGGTAGTAGGGCTGAGTCGAAGTACCTCGATCTGCACATGAAAAACATGCGCAGAAAGGGCATGAGTACACCACAACGGTACCTAGTAAGTGCCAAGCCTTACCTCGGTCGAGTAATGACAAGGAAGGTTAGGGCTCTACCGGTCATATACAATAATATATAAGGAAAAGAAGCAGTAGAGAAGTAACAAAAGGTAATACGAGTAGCAACAACTATAACAGAGGCAAATAATCACAGAAGGGTACAACTCAACACATAGATAACAACCGGGAACTCCCAAGATACCATCCTGTAGTCCCCAAATGTAAATATCTAGTGGATCTCTCGGGTGTTGTCCCTTAGTCCAACTCATAGGCGCGGGGATCTACCGGAATCCCGATCTGTATTCCCAAATGTAAATACCCAGTACTGGGGGAATCTACCGGGTGCAGTCCCGTAGTTCCAATATAAATGTGCAGAGGGATCTACCGGAATACAAATCCGTAGTCCCAAAATAAAAAGGCAGGGGGATCTCTCGGGATACCGTCCTGTAGTCCTAAAGTAAACACACAGCAGCAACACGAAGAATACTCAATTCAAATTTCATACCAAGGTAAAACAGGTATTTCTAACCTAGCATGCTGCACATAATCCAAATAAGGCAGTTTGAGCAAGTAAGCAATTAAGTAATTAGACATGCTTCCCTAAGCTAACAGTAGGCTTAAATTGCAAGCAGTATAAACAGGAAAGGAAACACAGTTATAGATACTTAATGAAAACAAGATTTTCAACAATTAGCACAAGTACGCACTCGTCACCTCACATACAAGGCATCTCAAATATCAACAATACCAAATCCTAAGGGGAGTTCCCCCACACAAGGTTAGGCAAGCCACTTATCTCGAACCGACTCAAAATCAACCCAAAATCACGCTCTTACCATGAGTACTAGACTCCAAATGACCCAAATATATTCAAATCTATTGAATAATGTAAATATAACTTCAAGTAACTGGTTTCACTAATTAATTCTAAGCTAATATGCGAAATTAGAAAAAATGACCAAAACTCCCCCGACCCACATCTCAAAATCGGGTAAAATTTACAAATTCAGAATCCTCATACTCCCACGAGTTCATTTATACTAAAATTGTTCCAATCCGACATCAAAATCTAGATCAAAACCCCAAAATTAGGCCTAAGAACATTTCTCCAATTTTCCTCAATTTTTCATCTCAAATTCGAAATTAAATGACAAAACTAAGATTAGATTATAGGAATAAAACTAGAAAGGGATTAGGAATCGTTACCCACTGATTTCCTCTTCAAAATCCTCCCAAAATCGCCCTCACCCGAGCTCCAAATCGATTTTCTAACTTTTGATTTCAAGCCCTCGTAATATCTTATTTCTGCCCAGCAAATCCGCTTCTGCGGCCAAGGGATCGCACCTACGGTCCCACTTCTGCGGAACAAAAGACGCATCTGCGACAATCCTTTAAACAACAACTTCCGCACCTGCGATCTTCTTTGCGCAGATGAGGTGCCACTTCTGCGGTGCCTGGGCCGCATCTGCGACCAATCCTAAAATTCCTCAGACCGCACCTGCTGTCCTCCAAGCGCATTTTGTGATGCCGCACCTGCGGTCTCACGAAGGTGCGGTTATGACAGGTTCTACCAAACTCCAAATTTTTCTAAGTCCAATTCAACTTCTGTTAAGCACCGGAAACTCACCCGAGGCCCCCGGGACCTCAACCAAACATGCTAACCAATCCTAAAACATCATATGAACTTACTCCAACCCTCGAATCACATCAAACAACGCTAAAACCACAATTCACTTTCCAATCCAAGCCTAAAGATTTTCAAAACTTTCAAATTCTGCTTTCGATCAAAAAGTCTACCAAACCTCGTCCAAATGACCTGAAATTTTGCACACACGTCCCAAATTATACAACGAACCTACTCCAACTTCTGGAATTCCATTCCGACCCTGATATCAAAATCTCACTATCGAACCGGAAACTTCAAGAATTCAACTTTCGGAGTTTCAAGCCTAAATAAGCTACAGATCTCCAAAACACAATCCGAACACACCCCTAAGCCCGAAATCACCCAACGGAGCGAACGAAACCAACGAAATTCCATTCCGAGGCCGTCTTCATACTGTTCCGGCTACGGTCCAAATTTCAAAACTTAAACTCTCATTTAGGGACTAAGTGTCCCAAAACTCTCCAAAACTCCAAATAAATCCTCCCGGCAACTCACAATAGTAGAAACAAATATGGGGAATGCAGTTAATAGGGGATCGGGGCGTTAATTCTTAAAATGACTGGTCGGATCGTTGCAATAGTATAATTTTCTGACGAATGAAATTTATCCATATGTCCTTACCCCTCCTAATTCAGCCCATGCACGAGAGTAATGGAGCGACTTGATATTAAATTGAATTCCCTCATAAACATAAACTAAAGTTAAGATTAAATTTTTAATCATATATAAGTTGTACTTAAATTTTCAGAAAATAGAATACAAATCATTAGTTAACTTAGTTTATGTTAGTTTATCCATTTGAGTTGAGCCTAACTTCATCTAGTTTATTCATTTGGGGTGAGCATAACCCAATAACGACTTTGATCCAAACTCTGTATGATCTTAAGAAATTCATTAAATACATACATATTCAGGGACAAATGTAGTTTGTTACTAACAGATTCAATTGAACCCTTAACTTTCGAAGCGAAGTAAAAGTTTATATGTAAAAATTCGTTAAAATTGCAAACAAAGTAGATATGAACCTATAACTTTAAAAATATAATGCGTTTAATGCTAAAATTCTTAAAAGCTGAACCCATAAAATTTAAATCATGGATCCGCCTCTGTACATATTAATTTAGAACCCAACAACTTAAAATGACTAAAATTCCGAACTAATAAACTTCAAATCTTGACCCGACTCTGCATTCTCACATTGTGAAAATGAGTTGACAACTCCTATGAAGTAAAGTACTGTACTTCAAACTGCAGCATGTGATTCTGCACCTGGTTCTTCTTTCATGTGTCGCGAGAGTAGTGGTAAAATTTGAATGCCACAATTTTTATCTGTTATGTTCTGGTAAAACATCAAATTTGTTTTTGTATTATACGAAATTGAACAACTTTAACTTCTATTAAATTTTTGGCCTAAGTTTTGGTGTGACTTGTGAAATTGAGTGCACCGTACACTATTATGAAGCGATGAATTCAATATTTATAGTGGACGAGTTTAATCTTTAAGTTCTTAAAAAGAATATATAACACCACGATTTCAATTATACAAAAAGATAGGAAACAACAACAACAAGACAATCGTGGAATTTAAAACCTCGATTTCTTGAGCATTTAAAACAAAATATTATTAATGATCTGGAAATGGGGAGACATGAATTCACGTGAACCCAGAAGTTACACACTTCCATTGATTCTTTAGAGGACACATAATTATTCAGGAGAATATGAACAAACTAAGGAACATGCAGAGTAAATTCAGTGGTGTTTGAATTAAATGTTATTAGACGATTAGGTCGTGATTTTTACACCTTTGAACTAGAGTTATATTGCAAGTAAAATTTGTTCGTGCTTCTTTACTTTATTAATTCCGTGTTGTTATTACTTGCAGTAATTTGGACAAATTTGAGAACCAATTCCATCGTCAAGATTCTATAGGCCAAGCAAATTTTTGAAAAATTTTGGATTTTTTTTTTAAAGTGTTAACTACCCTTGTGTCGTAGTGGTGCCTAAAACAACATTTATCATTAGAAAAAGTTTTATTTTTGCCATTGATTCCTTATAAAGCTCCAACCTTGGGATACCTTTAAACCATCAAGAATTGTAGTGAAATTAATATGATTCCTTTACCCTTAGATATAAGTTTTGGTTTCAAAGTCATGAGTATATTATAAAGAGTACTTTTACCCGTACACGGGCTAAATCAACACTAACTGAGGTCCTAATTCGGAACCGGTGACAGACAAAAAAAAAAAAGAAAAAAAAAAGAAAAAAAAAATGTATATGCAAAGTCCAAACTTCAAATTTCCACCAACTTTGGTGCAATAATTTGCTTCACGTTGTTGACCTAAATTTATCTTCTCTTATTATTATTATTATTATTATTATTATTATTATTATTATTATTATTATTATTATTATTATTATTATTATTATTATTATGCTTCAAAATTTGTCTACTCTTAGTTTAGCACCTATAAATACCTCTGTTGAATTACTGCTCATTCACACCTCTGAATTGCAATCTTTCGTATTATTAAAATTCCTATCCTTTTTTACTCATTCAAAGAGACTATGGCTCGCTCCTTGTGTTTCATGGCATTTGCAGTCTTGGCAATGATGCTCTTTGTTGCCTATGGTTTGTCTCCATTTATTCCTCTAAAATCCCATAAAAATAATAAAAGATGATTTATAGTATAATTCTATTTTTTGCTATTCAAGTAATTTCTTTTACCGCGTAAATTTTCAAGTGTAGTCATCTTTTTGATGTATTTGTTGTTAGAGTGACTAATTATTCTGTACTAATTATTCAATTATGGTCATAAATTATTATAATGAACATGAAGTTACACTTCTGCCGTGTTGTATAGGAACAATCTATTTTCTTGAGAAAAAGAGGCATCCCGGTGCACAAAGTGTGTCGCATTCACTCTGGTCCGAGGAAGGGTCGTACTCAGGGGCGGATTTAGGGGGGCGGAAGGAGGTTACCGAACCCCCTTCGCCGGAAAATTATACTGTAAATATAAGGCAAAATCCGATTTTTACCTCTATATTTTATACTTTGAATCTCCTTAACAGAGCCTAAAAGCATAGCTTAGTGGTCAAAGAGGTTCAAAATGTTTGTAAGGTTGTGGTTTAATTTCCACTCGCCACAATCTTTTTTTTTTTAAAAACTTTTTCTTTTTTGAACCTCCACAGCGAAATCCTACCTCCGCCACCGGCCGCATCCCAAGAGATATGATGTAGACAATCCACTCTAATACAAGCATTAGTGACTATTTTCACTGCTTTCACGCTCGAACCCGTTGCTCCAAGGCTTCTCTTCAACATATTTCTTTGAGAACCGTGAATTTATTCATGTTTAAAGGCTTTCTTTCAATTCCATCTTTTCTTTTGTTCTAACATTTATTAGTAAATATGAATGATTGTAGAGGTGCAAGCTAGAGAATGCAAAGCAGAAAGCGTCACCTTCTCTGGATTATGCATTACCAAAACACCATGCATAGAAGCTTGTATCTGTGAGGGATTTACAAATGGTCGTTGTAGCACAATCCTCAGAAGGTGCCTATGCACTAAGCCATGTGTGTTTGATGAGAAGATGATCAAAACAGGAGCTGAAACTTTGCTTGAAGAAGAGATAATGGATAACTAATTAGAAATTAGAAGAAATTAAGGATGCAGTGTCACACATAATAGCCTTTTGTTACACTTTAAATAAGTGTGGCACTTCAATCCTTTTTGGATCTTGTACCAAGTTAATTTATGTATGTTTTAATGAAAAATGATCTTCTATGGTCATTGCAATCCCATTATATTCCAAGCACACAACTTCATTATTTTCTTGCTCCTTATTGAGAGGCGATAAAAATTAGAAGAATTAAACTAAATATAGTCGCTCACACGAAAATATGGGAATCAGGTGAAATTCCTGTTTTATGGCCCTAAAATAAAAAAACGAGGAACGGTCATGACAAAACGATGGCTATTGTTCATTAGGTCATTTTTGAAGGGCCAATAAAATTTTAAGCGATCTGGATCCGGTCGCCCAGATGCATGCAGATGGCGGCATACGAAAATCTGAAAATCAGATGGAATTCCAGTTTTATGGCCCTAAAACGCAAAAAAGAAGAACAAATGGAGAAGCGATGACTATTGTTCCTTAGGTCGTTTTTGATGGTACGACAAAATTTTAGGCGATTTAGGTCT